AACCTCTCTTTCCTGGGATTAATTCTAATAGTACCTCATATATACTTCTTACTAAGTACATCCCTGTCCTTTGCCAGCGAACTCCCAAGTGCCAAACTGATGCAGCCACGGATTCTTTCTGTCATTGTGTGTCGGCAGGAAAGAAAAGCATTTGTAGCTTGCAATGTGTGCTTGTGCCAATTCACCAAAGCCAGCCTGGGTAGCCAGATTCAGCATGTCGCAATCCCTCCCTACCACACACAGACACACACACACACACACCACCACACACACACACACCACCAACTGACACATGCTGACCAACCACCCAGCACCGCACACCCACACACCCCACAACACCTGACGACATAGGTATCAAACTATCTCTGCCCAGGGGTGGCCAGCGTGCATCGTTGAAGTGTGTGAGGGGTTTCGAGTCTGCTGTGTCAACCTGAACAGCCTGAGAGGCCGGGCTGTCTCAACCATCGCACGCACCACACACCTCACAATCTCTCTCATCCTCTCATCCTCTCAGTCCTCTCAGCACAACACAGCACAACACACACACACACAGACCACAACACACACACACACCACACCACACACACTTAGTAAAACAGCACAGCCAGCGGGGGAAAGAGCCAGCAGATGTTCTCCGGCATTGTGGCCCGCTGACCAAAGAAAAAACTCACTCTGCTTCTTCTTAACTACTTTCATTTGGCTGTCTCTTGATTACAGTAACCCGCTCCCACCACACTACGCCCCGGCCCACACACACACACACCACAGTGCTAACAACTTTCTAAAGAATGCAGCAGCTCAACCTGCTGCTCCACTTCACCTGCCTGCAGTTCATCGGCAAAGAATCATAATTGTCCAAACCTTTAAAGTTGTAGCATGATACGACTTTAACCACATCAGTGTCATCACACTTCATCAAACTGACCTGGCTAGACCCAAATGTGAGAGAACCATTTTCGCCAACCGAAATTTCCGCGAAAATCTATCAAAAGAAACCACTGTTTGTCATTAACTCGTGTGTTCCATCCCATTCTCACCCCCCCGTTAATACCGTGACTTAAATTGTCTTCTCAGAAGTTTCGCCCTCCTCTTTCCGACGCAAAACCATCCGATGGCTGGCGGCCTATTCCCTCCAGGCGGCCAAATTAACACCCGCAGCCATTAAACCACTGCAGAAGAAGAATGCAGAAAGCATTCTTCACATTTATGTTCGTTTCATGTATTAATTTAAAGAAAATCTTCTTATCGTCTCTTCAGTGGATTTTATAAGTCACATTGGTTGCCTGTTTCTGTTAAAGTGACCTTCCTGTACACACCCAACGGTCATACGTAGAAGAAGTCGAGGTACAGTAGCCGGGATGTGCTGACCTGGGGGAGCAAATGTGATTGCAAATTGCTTCTTTAAAAGACTCACGTTGACGTGCACTGATGCTGGGAAATAGGACTGTGCCTTATCAAGACAAGTTGACTCACATCGACACACGGCTGGTGTTTTGTTCCAATCAGACTAGCTTAAGAAGAGGTTCTGGTGTGGGTCTTGCGCCACAACACAGAACATGGTTAAGCCTAAAAATAAATGTGGTACCTCATTTCTAGTTCAATGGACTGAATGGGAACGGCCACCCTTGATATTTTTTAAAAATGTCACTTAACAGATTTCTGGATGAGGCTTAAAGATCTGACTCAGAATAATTTACCATAAATGCAACAAGCTTCAGTTTAAGCAAATTACAATCCAGAAATGGCAAAAAAGTAGGGTCAAAGTCATAGTAACCTTTCCCACAAAACATTTTTATCACATTAAGAAGGAAGAAGAGGAGGGAGAGAGGATGTGATTCACTGAAGAGAACATGTGGCGTGTGATATTTCCTAATAAGATGAGTTTTTACTGATTACACAAGATAAGGTAGGATGACACAGACTGACTGTGCATCCCATTAGCAGGTAGACTCTTTGAGCATCTTTGGTGACGGGCTTTTCAGTGGAGACCCAGTTTGTCTGCAAGTTGAACCCAAATGCTTCTTAAAAATGTGATTCAACAGCACTTGTGAGAGAGATTCAGCTGTTCAAGTAAAGTGAGACAAATTGTTTCGTAAAATAGGATGTTTGCGAACGTGAACCCGAAGCCAGTGGGAACTCTGTGAACCTGGACCAGCACCACACTGGCCCGGGTCAGCCTCACAGTGTGTTAAAGGCCTCAAAACTCTCTGAATCGTCCTCCCAGGCGAGGTCAGTGTCTGAGAAAAGCAGCAGGTTTTCTTGTTATTGTGGGCAAGAGCGAGACTTCCAGCATAACCAGTGGACGGTGTTTAAGGTGAAGTATTTTACACTTTAAAAAACTCGACAGCATATTTATCAAACACACACCTCCAGTCATTTGATCCTGGGTGTGGCCCCTCGTTGTCCTTGATGACGGATCGACTTCTGTGGCGCGGTGCTGATATGTCTTAACTCAAGAGTACTACAACCATGTAAACTGAACATTATTCATCCTCTCGAGCATTTCATCATTGTCGGTAAATGAAATGAATAAATTCATTCAGCGTTAAAGGGAAAGTCAGACAAATTCTTTACACCTCAAAGTTAGTTTACTAGGCTTTGAAAGTGCTGTGAAAACAGTTTGTGCGAAGTGCAAAACAAAATTTCTGTATTACTCTCTAACGTTTTACAGCGAGCAGTCAGCTGAAACGAGTCTCCTGTACACATAATGTCCTTTTGTGAGTGTCACCCGAATAAAGTGTGTCAATATTTGTCCTGATCAAAGAGTTTGCTTTGAAGCTTCAGGTTTGACAGATACAGATAATGGTCTACTCGCTCATCCCTAATATGTGTCCTTTTTTTCTTGTTTTGTGTGTCTTACAGAGAGGGCTGAATTATGTCACAAGGTAACACTTTGTGGATGTTTACCCAGGATGCTTTGCAAATAAGGTGAGATTGCACATTTAATTATTATGATTGTTTTTTTTGCCAGTTTAATATATATATTTTTTAGAGATATTGTAAATGAGTTAATGCTGTAATTGGTGGAAATGTTCACAGGTCTTCACTCAAATTGAATGGCTCATTCATTTGTATAGAACCTGTTCATAGGAAAATTAGAATATAAAATACAACATGCAGATTCACATGGCAACTTACACATTATAATGTTCAACTGCACAGCTCCACCAAGCTCTTACACATATGCTGACTGTGACTCTTAGTACTTAAAAATAGTATTGGTGTGAGAAAAAGAAGAAGAAGAAGAGGTGGAGTTTAGATCCCAAAACGGTGGGATCAAAGGTTAAGAAGCCCTGCTCGGGTTTATACAGTGGAACAGTAAAACTGGTTCCCTGTACCTGCTACAGACTCAAAAAGCAAACAGGGACACCCTGGCATGACAACATGGAGAGTGAAAAAAGAAGAGTGTGTGTGTGTGTGTGTGTGTGCGAGAAACAGAGGTGTGTATGTGTAAGTGAGAAACAGAGGTGTGTATGTGTGAGTGACTGAGTGCGTTTAAATGAGTCAGCTGGCTTGACAAATTTTGTGTGCTCTACTGAGAGTGGTTTGTGTGAGTGTGTGTGTGTGTGTGTGTGTGTGTGTGTGTGACCTGTGAAGCACAGCTGCTTCCACCAGCACTTACAACCTTTGTCATTTTAAAAATTACCTTTCTCTCTCTCTCTCTCTGTGTCTGTCTCTCTCTCTCTCTCTCTCTCTCTCCCTCTCTCACTTTCACTTGTGTTTTCTGTCGTCTCACTCCCAGTGTGAGGCTCATTGTCAAAACAGGGACGAGGCTTTTAACACGAGCGCTGAATGTACAGTCTCTCTCTCTCTCTCTCTCTCTCTCTCTCCGTCACTCATTGGCTTTATTGTTTCTGACACACTTCCATTTTGACTGAAGTTCTGAACAATTGTCTTCTTTTCTGATTCTTCGAAATGCAGCATGGAGAAATGAAACTGCTGCTGCTGATGTGGTAATGTCCTGCTTTTGCTGTACACAGCCAGTGTAGACAAGGTGTTAGCCACCAAAAGTGTGTGGACACCCCTTGACTTTGGGCTGTGGCTGTTTATTTGTTAGGCCCCCATTTCCAGTAAATGCTGCATACCTTTAGACAACAGAGTGCTTCCAACTTTGTGGCAGCAGTTTGGGGAAGACCCTTTCTTGTTTCAGCATGACAATGCCCCCCCATGCGCAAAGCCAGGTCCATAAAGAAATGTTCCCCCACCCCCTCAACCCCCATCCTCCTCTGGTGTGGAGGAACTTCAGCACTGACCTCAACACCTTTGTGATGAACTGGAACAAGAACTGGAGCAAATCCCTGCAGTTAGGATCCAACATTTTGTGGAAAGCTTCCCAGAAAAAGCGGAGGCTGTTCTGACAGCAGTTTAATGCAGATGTGTCCACATACCTTCAGCAATATATTATTATTATAATACTCTACTATCCTGTTAATCAGTCACAAGGGATTTATTTTGTCAATATCGCCTTAACAGCACCCAACACCAAATAAGCAATTTAAGTGCTTGAAATGTATTCATTCAGTAATAAACATGTACATTTTCTAAAGCTTATTTCTATGTTTTCAGTATTTTTTTATACACGTGACAAAAGGTAGAGTGAATCGTCAATGTCATGAAATAACACTTGACATTAAATATAATGCGAGTTCAAAATTTAAGAACAACAGGTTATGTAAATCATTCAGTATGTAGAAAGGCTGAGAGAGAGAGAGAGAGCGAGAGGGAGAGGGAGGAGGAGGAGGAGGAGGAGGAGAGGGAGGTTTTTTTTCTGCACATTGGCTAATAGGAGGGAGGAGTGTGCATGTGTGTGTGTGTATGTGTGGTGGGAGGAGACAGGGAGGGGTGTGTGTGTCTGTGTGTGTGTCTACGTGATGGGGGGAGGGGACAGAGAGAGAGAGAGTGAGAGAGAGAGAGAGGATTTGTGGCATGTAGTTTGTCAGCTGTCATTAGGCGCAGATGACACACACACACACACACACACACACACACACACAGAGGTAATCTCACAGAGAAGAGAGGGGAAATACAAAACGAGTGTGTGTGTTTTTGTGTGCTGTGTGTTGTGAATTGCTGTGTTGACTGTGTGTATGGTGTGAAAACAGTGCGTCCACCCGGCCGGCATGGGATGGTCGGCCGGCTCTGAACTGGTTATGGACTGGTTTAACCAAAGCAGAGGTAAGTGACGATCCTGCTCTCACTGTAGCACCAGTGTGTGTACATTTCAGCTGTATTTACATTCGTAATTGAGGTGTGTTTGATGAATATTTCTCAGCTTATTAACAATATCAAATACAGCCTTGTTGTACTTTACATTATTCACTTAGATTAAGTTGTCAGTCCCGCTGTTCAAGTACCTGTCACTCAAATTGGGAGTGATATATGGGTCCACCCATGTGTTATGATTGGAGACAGTTGAGCCACCGTCTTGTTTACTTTTGGATCAAGAGTACAGTTTTAATATTAAATTGTAGGGAAATATATATGTATTTTATACCTGTGTTATTACTTCTTTTTGATTATATTATGCTGTTACAATTAATATCCCAATTATTATGAACTTTAGCACAATATTGTTGTTTAATGCTAAGTATAATATCACTATTTGGTAATAAATAGACAATGATAATGAGTTTGATGCACGCAGTATGCATGACAGGCTTAGTCAGACTAAGTGGACTTTGAACTATCATGTATTATTGTGGTTTTGATACGTGTGTGTGTGTGTGTTATGAATGACTGGTCACACTCCCACACACACGCACATCGACAGAGTGCACAGTCAGCAGGCCTGTAGCTGCTCTGTCACCTGAGGTGTAACCAGCCAACTGTGTTTACTCAGTTTGCTCCACTTCAGTAACAACTGTTGTTAACACTCATTCAGAGAGCAGCAGGTCCGCTACACGTACAGCCAATAATTCAAGGGAAACGTTTTCAAACCGCTTTGCGAAGTGAGTCGGTGAATGCAGAGTTTTGTGGTTACGAGTTCATAGTTTAGGGAAATACGAAAATGTCGGATACGTTTTTAATGTACCCGGTTTGTTAAGGTGCTAGATCTGTATTAGTAATAACTGTTTGCTTACATTTCCATAAATTAGTACTCCTGTTGTCAAAGAAAGTGCTGAAATCCACCATGTAAAAAGCTTTCTATTCTTAGCAAAGAGACAAACAACAAGCCAGTGTTTTGCTGCCTTTTAATGGTTATGTGCCCATGCAGTTGACCAAATGACAACTCATTTACAGAGCAGGAATACTGAGCAGCGCTGTATCTTTCTCTAAACTTGCTGATGTGAAAATCTTTTGCATGCACACAAAACAGAGTTTTATGAAGTCTCTCAGCTGTGACTGTATGTTAATTTTCACACTGACACGAGCTGCAGCAGCAGATAAGTCAATCAGCGAGTTAAAGGTGGAGTTTGACCTCCAGGCCAGTGGAACAATGGGAAACTCCAGCAGAATCTCTGTGTTTTTGCTTTCGTTTTGTGTTTGATACTTTTTTAAAGCTTTGTGACTCGTCCTATCAGCTCGTTTATCTCCCCTCCTTTCAGTCATGGTATCAGATATAAGCTGTTTTATATCCAATTTGTTAGTGAGTTACGGGATTTGAAATCATTTACTATCACAAGGGTAATTTAATTTGCAATATTGGCGTACAAAATGTTGCACACAGTAGTGCTATCAAAGCAAGTGGTGTTGTACAATATCAGAGTATCATGAGTGTATCACCATATCCATATCCATATCGTCCATTGACAGGATTAGTAGACTTAGTGTATTGTTACACACACACTATAAATAAGGTTACTTATAGTTATTAAGATATTCCTTTAATAGTTATTGTAAGTCTATATGCAATCGTACTAATCTAAGAAGCTTGATAATGAAACTTGAGCTGAGAAGACGAAGAAATCACGCTCAGGAGTTTTTGCCCGCTGTTGCTACACGGGGCATGACGAGTATCATTGACAATAAACAAAGCCTCTCTCTCTGTCTCTCTCTGTCTCTCTCTCTGTGTCTCTCTCTGTGTCTCTGTCTCTCTCTCTCTCTCTGTCTCTCTCTTCACAGCCTGACTGCCACATGCTTGCATTTTGGAGAATTTAACATGTTCAAGTGTCCAAAGTTCACCCACGGGACCAAATTTGGGCACAAACATTGTACTCGACTGTTTTTCCTGCACTTGATATGGTTCTGTAGTTTTTTTGCTGTATCGGGTTATACAGCACATCTGTTTAACTTCCTTGCTGCATCAGATTT